CGTACATATGGTGTGACGCGCGTCGATGCGTGGCAGGACGGATTTCGTGCGCTCCGTCCTAACAACTCCCTAAGAAAATTCACCTGCATTGGCCTGGGCAACCAGGCAATATTCGGCACACAAGCAAGTCATGGGCGCTTTCCTGTTTTTTGAGGGTTACTATACCGCGACTTGTTTGGCACAAAGTCTAGACTAAGGCTAGTGTGAAAATATAATATAATAGCATATATGACTATATAAATCACAGGTTGTGAAACCTCGTCAACTTCCGAATCTGGGATGAGGGAGGGGGGGGGNAGTTTGGGCAACAAGGTGGTCTTGGGCATAGATGAGGATTACTGGTGAATGATTTTAGCTACCTGTCGGAGATCAAGATCAAGCTTATAAATTGTACCCGGGTTTTTCTTCACATACCAGGAGCAGCTGATGAAACTCGTCGGTGCAGTCAAGAGCATTGCACTGAACAGCAAAGTGGAAGCCTCATCCATTGTTGGGATCCTCATCAGGTGTTGTTTGTGGGATGCGGCTGCAGGATTCAGTCAGTATTCGGAAGGAAAGCAACAGCAAGATATCTTTGTACAATCTCGGTTAACGTGTCAAGTTACAGCAACACTATTGACGCGTAAAACGATGAGTTCCACGATAAACTCACTACGCTCATCCGGTTGGAAGCTGTGTTCAATGCCAGAATTGAAACAGTGAGCGCCTTAGAGGCCTGTTCAGGGGTTATCGTGCTACCCCGCCCCCTCTCCCGCCTTAAAACTCATAGAAAAGATAACAGTGATCGACTGCTCCAGTTCTACGCAAACCCCACCACCCATTCCTGTCTGGTATGGACTTATGTTGTACTGTGTTGTATTGTATTCAGACAGCCTTCAACGGTGCTCCAGCTCGATGGGTATACTAAGCTAACTTAACTACATAGTAATAATTTACCGCTAGCGTTGTTTAGTACAAAACTGGAGTAGGTCTTATGAGATCACATGCGCTGATTCTGACCAGGCACGAGTCTTGATGCGCTTCACTGTTCGACTCTCCCGAAAAAATTGCAACCTCGATTGCCTCATCAAGGGCTCTCTATTCCAGCTGTTTGTATCCGTTATGAGGAAAAGCTAAGGCTGTGAAATGCGGTGGAGCAGAATAGCAACAGAATCACAACAGACGCGTAATGCATTTCGTAGAGATAGTATTGCCATTGGGCCTGAGCCCAAAGTCTGTCCAAGCCGTTACATCTCTCAGCAGTCTTGGTGGGGAAGAAAAGAAAGATTTCAGCCAGCGGTATCTACAACATGAACTCACGAAAGATTTCAAAATAGACAATGAAAACTGGTGGACTGCAGTTGTTAGTGAAATGAGAAATTAATCGTTATTTTGGGGGATCGTCAAAGACTGATATCATAGGTACGCAACTCCGGAGGTCGACAGATTTCGGTCAGCGAAACTGTCTGCAACAAAAGGGAACGGTCTATTCACAGTGAGTGACTGCGGATTGATCGGGGAACAGAATAAAAGACCATTGAGCTGATCTGATGCCACCCAGATTACATCGGTTGTTAAAGCTGAGGCTATTAATTGGAATTCGTGTAACCCCGTCCCCTCTCCCTCCCCCTATAAAAAAAAAAGAAATAGGATTACGACTTTTCATTCAAGTGTTGAAAAAAGCAGAGACGTTTGAATTTGACAGGATTGCTTTATCTCCCCATCCCGTCTACACACACTAATTTAAAGATGCGGGGAAGTGACTTTCAAATTGAATTCATGATAAATTTGGTTGAAGTGCGCGGATCACCTGTCAGATGTTGAGAATATAACCGTTTGAGATTCGTTGGCAAGGCAACAAGGCTTGCAGTATGCAGCCGAATGAAATCGGTGTTATCCAGAGCTTTTCGGTCTCCATTGCCTCCAACTCAGTAAATCGTGACATAATTACCCGATCAGGTTGAAAAGTTTGTCCATGAAAGTGCGATCCTCAGGCAGAGTTAATGTGTCACACATCAGTGCAAGGATTTTGAACAGTTATTCCGTCTAGCTAGCTTCTCAGAGGTCATCAACAGTAAACCACGTCTCCTGCTTCCACTGGGACAGTAGACCGGGTGTGAGGAATTGGCAAGCCGGATTGGCTCTCAGCAGATTATCACAGGACAACATGATGTGAATTGGGGATTGAGCACTGTCGGATTAACAACGGCACCCGATCTGGGAGTTAAATCGCAATGGATTCGATGACCTTGGTGCCCCGCTGAAACGAATGTCACCGATCGATCCAGAGGAAGTATTTGTGTATTTCACATATACGTCTGAGATCAGACTAAGGACCAAACAAATCACGGTACAATGATCATTATAAAAATATGGTCTATGATTTGCCCAAAGGCATGATACTGCTAGGTTGCTCAGATTAAGGCAGGTGAATTTTCTTAGGAAGTTCACAACCGAAGACTTCGATTAGCCAAAGCCGCAAGGCGGCTGGGTGATGTGAGAAAACCGCAATCCATTGGAGGCCGGTGTTCAGTTCATTGGATCATACATCCTTTGGACGGGGTCAAACATCCAAGGTGCCCAATACACCTTCATTCTTAATCCAGTCGCTAGCCACTGCGTCTCTTCTTGGTTGGTTTAGAATCAGGGTTTCTTTTAACCAACTCTCCTAGGTGACATGTCATTCGGTCACCAACCCCGTTATAGCGCCGGATGTTAGTTTGTCGGCCTCTCACTTTGGTGGGAAAACACCTCCGCACCACGGGAAGGCAGTGAGACTATTTGAGGCGCTTGGTCGTATGGGAGCATTGCGAGAGGTGCAAGCTCGCGAAAGACAGTTTTACAGTGTCATATCAAGGCTTTTCAGTGATGAATGAAACGTTCAATTTGTCCGATAAATACACCTTTCTAAACAAGCCATATCTCCCCACATTGATTCACATGTAAGGCTGACCTAAATGAAAACGAGTGACCTGAAGAAGAACGCCATAGCGAAATTCCTTGTGTGTATTAAGAGTGCACGAACAGATATGTATGCAACTTTCGACTACTCGGCACCAAATGTTCACATGTGCGTACGAGGCAATATGGTGAAGCCCTTCCAAGAGCTCCAGCTCAGTTTCGAGTAGGAACCTCTTCTGATCGTGACTGATGACACTGACATTGATTGAACTTCACGAAGGAGAGGGAGATCCCCAAAAGGGCCCTACTCGGGGTAGTCCACTGATATTTGGTCCAGGAGAAGGGGATGGCCAAAACATCAATCTAAACTAAAGAAGAGACGCACAATCCAAACTCAACGCCTTTCAGTAATGCTGTTTGGTACCTTGAACGTATGATCCCGTTCAGAGGGATGAACATCAGTCTCCAAATGGATAGCGAATTCTGAGCTCCGTCCTGCCACCTTACAGATCTGGCTTTAAAGCCAAAGACTTTAGGTGAGAACCTCAAGGGTATCAGCCTTCTGCTTTCGACCACGATAAAAAGCAGGTAATATAACATAACATTTGTTGCACTTCTGCAAACAAGTGCACAAGAGTACACACTAACCGTGTAGTTGGTGATTTGGTCATACACGGACCAGAACAGATCAGCGAACAGAACTCGATCGATTGGGCTCCCGTTTATACGAATTCGTTCCTCGACATTAATTAAATGCGGTGAACTGTGAAATCGAACGCAACGTGAGATGCAGGATGTGTTAGGACTGAGGGAAACCAATTGGTGGAAATGCGGAAGTAGAACTAAATTTTCAGTTCAGTTTTTACAACCAGAACTACATTTTAAAAAGGTGGAATAGAGAAAGGAGTAATTTGTTTGAAATAAACTAAAGACTTTTCCTGTCCATTCGAAAACAAAATCACTGTCAATACAATCCGTACTCGAAGAAAACGCGTTGAATATACAATGGCATGAAAGGACTCCGTGGTCGTTGAGAGCTACGAGAACGGATAACCTAAACCCAGGGAACTGGAGAGAGAACATCTAATTTTCCGATTAGATAGGTGCAATGAAGAATCAAGCAGTGAGTGGCAAAGCGGCCTATCATCAGATAGATAGAAATTATACGGATTCAAAGAGTAAATACTCTATTATGATTGTGGAAAAATTACTGATGAGCTATTTTGAGTATTTTCTTGATTAGTATTCGGCAACTTAAATATATTATTCTTCCACAAATTCTCTTATCGAAAACTTCAGCTACGTCTAAGCGACTAAGTAGTTAGTATTGCAGGGAGTGGGGGGATGCGTGATTTCATTGCGGATCTCTGATAGAAAAATGGTCAGGATCATAAGGCAAATTAGCAACGGGTTTACCTTGCGTTGTGCTATCTCAGCCTCAGTATGGTCGGGTGTGGGTGTCTAGGGTTGCGGTTTGTCACCCTTCCCTTACACCTTGCGAAATGCTCCTATATGAGCAAGCGTCTCAAATAGCCTCTGCGGAGGAAGCCCAACTCACTGTCTTCTTCTGGAGCCGAGGTATTTCTGTACCGAAGTGAGAGAATGAAAAGTTGACATCCGGGGTCGGTAAACCATTGGCAGTTCACCTACGGGAGTTGACCAAGAACCCTGATTCCAAACAAATCAAGAAGGGGTGTACGAACCACACACACCTTCCTGGTTTTGGCAGTGGTCACCGGCTCGATTAAGCATCGAGGTGTATTGGGCGCTTGGACGTTCGACCCCGTCCAAAGGGCGTGTGATCCGATGAACTGAACACCGGCCCTCAATGGACTGCAGACTATGAACTCCGTCCCGTTGTCTTGCAGGCCTGGCTTTTTAGTCAAGGTCTTCGGATAGGGACCCCAAGAGTATCCCTTTCCTCGGTCAGGGCAACCGGGAAGTAACATGCCCACACAATCTACGAACACATTATAAAGATTTTTATTAAGATGTTGTGGCACATTTGCTAGTTCTGTGCAATTGGTTACATGTTGAAATCAATAAATAATAATAATTATTATTATTGTAAAAATTCCAGTTTGTTTCAGTTTCATTTTGCACAACCATTAACCATGCACTTCCGTGCGCCGGTTTTGGTTGCCGTCTTTTGGCTGCTCACTAGGATGAAGTAGTAAGAGAAAGACAGGAAAGTTGAAAGTAGAGTCGAATAGAAAATGGAGAATTTCAG